GGCCCATGAGCTCTGATAAGAGTAAGCGTCCTCTTCGTCTGGACTTTGCTTTGTCTCGCTCATATTTGATCCAAGTCATGTGCGCGTGCTTTTCCCAAGCGCAAACGCGCTGCTGCCAAACAAATATTCGTGAATCGTGGACCTTAACGGCATGAAAAATGATGTGCCCTCGAATTTCGTAGCTGTTGCTAATTGGTATCTTGAGATCAGCCGTTTGCCCGATGGGCTCCTCAGTCCTTAGTCTCTGAAGCGTCAGTTTACCAGTCTATTAGTAAGGTAATCTTGCTGCCATTTACCTTCCTCCATCCTCTCTAACGCACCACGCCGCTTAATGACAACCGACACAGGCGGCCTCTGACCTCTCCTCATTCCGCAGTGTGGCCGGGTTCACTCGGCTGCGGATGCTCACCAAGGGCGGCTCGCCAGTGTCGTTTGTCGAGTACCAGGACACCACCCAGGCAGCTCTGGCTATGGCGCGTCTCCAGGGCATCGTGCTCTGCCCGGAGCGGGGCGGCATACGCATCGAGTACGCCAAGACGAAAATGGTGGACAATGGTGAGTAGTGTTCGGCTCGAGAAAGGAAGGTGGATGGTTGTGAAGTTTGTTTGTTTGTTTTTTGTTTGTTTTGCTGGGTCAGGCCCTTTCTGTCTGACAAGACCATTTCAGAGCCGAAAGGATTATAGGAACTAGGGGAGACGTTGGTCAGGGCAGGCACCCTAGAGAGTCACCGGGGCTGAGCCCGTCCAGATGGGCAGGCCGCCCAGCCCCCCAAGTACTCTCTTCACCCGGCTACGGGTGTATGTATGTATGTATGTATGTATTCATCTAAAATCCGTCCACATGATGGCTTTTCGGGATTTGCGTCAATACAAGATAGCACACTCATAAAACGACAGAATAAAACGTGACATTAGAGCAGACACTCGCCATATTCATAAAATACATAAAAAGGTGAAGGTTTAAAATGTGAGGCTAAAAGCGAAGACTTCGCACATTGTGTTGCATGAAAATTAAACACAAAATGAATGCACTGAGTGACGAATAGTAGCGAGAGATCTATCGTACTTTCTATTGAATAGCGCGTTTGAACTCTCGGGCAGATCTGATGTTGGTGACAGTTGGTGACAACATGTTCCACGTTGCCGCGGCACGATAACGAAATCCGCGCTGGGTGCCGACCAGCCAGCACCGCGGCAGCTCAAGGCGGCCCGCCTCGGTGGAACGGGTGGAGCGGTGGGAGACAGCCGATCGGGCCACGAACATAGATCGGACTGCTGGTGGTCCGAGCTCCTGGGTCAGGAGCTTGTGAAGTTTGATGGCGTCCTTCATCTCGACCAACCGCTCCACCCGCTCCCATCCCAGAGCCCGGAGCGTCGGGCCAATCCTGTCCGTCCGCCGTGCCCCCGTTACCGGTGCGGTGCCGCTCCAAGGGAGCAGCCCGAATGAGATAAAGTTGCCTGTCCAGCCCGGACCGAGGGTTGCGGCGTGGAGGAGAAGGATTTGAACATCCTGAGGATGGAAACGACGGAAGGGCAATTGTTAAGTTGCACCGGGAACTGATAGGGGTCCCTGGAATTTACTCGACTTAAACACACGTAGCATGTTTACGAAGCAAAAGCCGAAAACGTAACGGGTTTCATGTCTGTAACGCTAGCAAGACCATTTATAGGACATTTTATGCTATATTTCTCGATTCCAAGTTTTATTTGAGTCTAACCTGGCTTGTTTTTTTCAGGTAACCAGGACTGAGCCTGAAGTCCACCCACAGCGACCGCTGTCGGTCAGCTCGCAGCTGCTACACGCTTCTGTCGCTGGGCGGCGCTGCGGTCGGCCGCTGCTGCTGAGCGCCACCTATGGGAGTGGTGAGGTGCCGGACCGCCCCCGCCTGCCCCGGCCGGTGAGGCAGCGCTACTGCCCCCAGGACCCGCTCGCCCGGGACCCTGCCGCCGTATCAGGTGACCCGGGCCCGTCCAGAGCTCTCCGGGCTCGGAAACTACTCACAGCATATCAACGCCAGCCTTTATCACTAGACCAGTGTCATTGTGTGTTTTCTAATGCGGTGTCTCCTCGCGAGTTTGGACGCGTCAGCTCACAGTTTGGTCAGGTGACACTATCGGCATTCTACGTTAGTGCTTTGCATTTTGCAATAGCAGTGAACAATGCCCCGATCGTCGAGCTAAAATGCTGAAACGCAGCGTTGCGGTACGCTGATTTCCATCGGATTCATGACGATTTAACTGCATCCATTCCGTATTGCTGTAAAAAGTAATGTGCTTGTGTTGATTAACCAAAGATAAGGCAGGCGTGAGCCTTGCTGTTTTATTTACCAGTACGTGCGTGGGTAGCTGTCATGCCCTAACCTATGTTCCGTGTGTGAAGCGGCAATCAGTCAGATCGGCAGCCTGAGTTTGTTGTTCGGGCGCGTTCCTATCCATAGTCCATACATGTAAGAGCCTTAGCGCGGGTCGGTCCGCGCGGGCTCAGCCGGTGTGGGCCGAGGGAGGGCTGGGTCGTGCCCGCCCGCCCCGCGGTCCGCTGGCTCTGACTGATGTGGGACGCTCCGCGGCGCTCCGTCGGCGCTGTCCCAGCAGTCAGCGGCTCGGCGGCTGCCGTCTGAATCCGTCCACTGTAGCTGTAGTATGTGACCGCGCGCTGCCGAGTATGCCCGATCTGCGCCTGTAGCGGCGGGCCGGCGGCGTCACCGACCGGGCTCGTGTATCAAACTGCGGTCCGTGCAGACCCACCCAGCCCGGCCCGGCGCTTTGGAGACTGGCGATCCGGCGGCGAGCGGGGCTGCCTCCCTGTCGAGGGCGCGGCGGTCGGCTCGTCCAGCTCTGCCCGTGGACTGACCGCCCTGTCCAGACCGCTCGGTCGGTCCCAGTCCCAACTGCGACCCTGCATTGCCTTATACCGGGACGTCGCCGTGCTACCGGCAGCTGAGACTCGTGTGTCCGTGTCCAGTGTTTGTATTTACCACGGCGGCGGCTCGCGCGGTGCTCGTACAGCCTCCGCGTGCGGTGTCCGCTCCGTGGAGCCGAGCCTTTGCGTGCGAGGTGTGGGCGCGATCCCTCCGTACCCTGAAGGAACTCAACATATCAGCGTTCCATCCGAGGCAGCCCGCGGCCAGGCGCGCTGCCCTAGTGAGCAGACTTTGTACTGTTTGTGTGCATTTAGAATCTCACGTGAACATAGCTCTGTAGATCCTGTAGAGGCAGTTATTGCTAGCTTTCAAAGTGACAGGTGTATGAGCAATACAAGGCTAGCTAGGGAAACTAAAGCTGTAGCGAGATGTGCGATCAGCAGCATCGCGGCTTTTCATAGACCTGCTCACATATTAACCCTAAACGAGGCCTTCGCTTGGGAAATGGATGCATATCAACCTGTGGGCCTGTTGGTCGGCGTGATAGGCGTTGTTTTCGTGTCTGTGTGCGAGTGTTTGTGTGTCGCAGTGTGAGTGTTTTCGGTGCATGCCGGGGCGCTGTGTCGCCTCTCACGGCCGGACTGGACCTGTGCTGGTCGGCACTCTCCGCTACCGACGTCCTCCGCGAACGGTGTCTCTTGTATGGACAATCCTCGCTCTATCATAGCGTCTCGAGGGCGGGTGCTGGCGACAGCAGTGGTACTCCTCTCCTCTTCTGTGCTCTTGGCTACTGACAAAGAGGCGTGCTCCGCTTCGTTCAACGCTCTCGGACGAGCTGTCTGCGAATGCTGCTTTTAGTGAACCGAGTTGGCGAGTCTGTGTGCGCTCCTCTGAGGCGCTGATTAATTAAAAGGCTATCCCATCGATTTCAATGCTGACAATGTTCCGGTGGGACTCTCCCCACTTTATTTTAGGATATAGTGGTAGCTCTGATATTAGGTCTCGCTACTGCGTGCTCCGAGAAGCCTGTTGCGTCAACTGACGCTGACGCGGCTCTCTCGACACCCAAGAGGCGCCCCTCTGTGGGAGATCCGCCTGACCCCTCGTGACCCGCCTGACCCGACCTGACCGGGCCTACCGACCTCGCGCCTCGGGAGCCAGAGCTGCGGCCCTCGACACGCGAACGCTCCTGGTCAGTTGCCTATTATAAGCGTAGGACGATGTATGAAATTATCATTATTTGCGACTATGTAATTATGTATGCTTAGCCTGTGTTGTCTGTTGCTACGATGACGTAGCTACATTGTGATTTAGTGTTTAGATTTATGCGTGAGTCACAAGTGTCTCTCGGATGTGTTTTGTTCCGTTGCAATGACGTGTACCTAGGCTAGTCAGCTGCGCTGCTGTGTGCGGTGATCTGACTTGGCTCCTGTATCGATAGAATTCGGCATAGGGTCCAAGAGGGTGCGAGTGCTGGCTGAATAAATATTGTTTGCCCAAAGTTTTCTCTTCTGGGGGCTGGGGCTTTAGTAACCGTTTAAACGAACCACGGTGATACGATTAGCGGTGACGATACCAGGCTCTCGCATTCAAACCTTTATTGCTTACGTTTACGTTTGAACGTGCCTTCATTAATCATTTGATCACACGCAGAAGAAACGTTAATTTCTTAATTTGTTTTTTTTTTTCATTTTCGGCCACGCATTTATCCGCCTTCGCATTGGCTGACGTGAAGTTCTCAAAAGTCACACAATACACACCATGGGAGTGGAGGGACCACGCCCCCCTGACCGCCCCTCCCCCATCCCCGCGATTCCCACGCTCATGACCCGCGTCGAGTCTAATGTCCCGCTCAAATTTGAAGGCGCCAAATGGAGGTGCGCCGGCTCGAGTTCTGGCGCGCCATCATCGCCGAGTGCATGTCTGCACGGCCGATGTTTTGAATCTCGATCAGACTGCCCGGCAACTTGAAATATGTACCCCCCCCCCCCCCCCCCACTCCCACATGTCCCGGACAAATTGTGATAAACAGCCGGCGTTTCGTGGGACCACTGTTAGTTCCGACTCTGGCCGCCGCGCCGGTGGTGGCGCTAGCTGTCGGTCCGTTCGGGGGGGGGGGACTCGTGGGAGAGCGCGCGGTAGTCGGTCGCGCGTGAGCGGAGAGGGTGGGTGTCTTACGGGGGCGCCGACGTAGATCGGTTGGAACGGCGTCGTTTGTGTGAACTTTGCACGATTTGGTCTTCGCAGCAGCGCATTCAGTGCAGAAAGAAGCCAGCTCCAAGTCACTGTTCCGTGTGATGCTCGCGGTAGGCGGAGCTATTCATCGTCTTTGAATCCTGCGGACTGCGCCGGGTGTATCTCGTCTCCTAGTCTGTCAAAGTCGCCACCATGGCCATCACGTCGCTGTCAGCGGAGACGCTGGACAGCCACATCCTGACGCTGATAGACAAGCTGGACCACGTGCAGGGCGAGCTGAGCCCGCCGCCGGCGCGGCTGCCCATGCACGTGGAGGTGCGCCGGCTCGAGTTCTGGCGCGCCATCATCGCCGAGTGCATGGCCACGTTCTTCTTCGTGTTCCTGATCTGCGCGGCCAACGTGCCGTGGAGCACGCACACGGTCTGGGCGGCGCAGAGTCTGTTCGCCGGCGCGTTCACGGCCGGTCTGGCGGCCGCAGCGCTTACCCAGTGTTTCTGGCGCGTCTCCGGCGCGCACATGAACCCGGCCGTGACACTGGCGCACGCCGCCACGCGCAAAGTGTCGCCGCTCAGATGTCTGCTCTACATCACTGCCCAGTGCGGCGGCGCCATCGCCGGAGCTGCGCTCCTCTACGGGTAAGTTACAGTTTTACGGGGATATTTGCATTGGGCTCGGGTGGGGAGTATTCGGCAAACGATTCAGATTGTCTACTGTGTCCATTATATTGGCTGTCCCGTCAGTCTCTCCGTCACTCGCGAAACGCCTCGACGTATCTCTGGACGTTAGGGCGACCCGTTACCCCACCTGGCCAGATGTCCGTGAAGTTAGCGTCAGCAACAGCAACGAATACAGCGTCGGATTCAGAATCGCTTCAAAAACTGCCATCAGGTCAATTGGGGGACGGGGAACACGAATATGACATTTATTTTGCCCTAGCTCCCTTCCTTCATCCCTTAATCGTCCCTTAAAGGACGGGGCGCGTCAAAAGTGCCCCAAGGCTTCGTCTGATCGCCAAAATAATGGTCGCAATCGATTCCTCGGGTCAATATCTAACCTCAGTCGAAGGTTCCAGACCTGTGGCCCCTATCCCTCATCCCTTAATCGTCCCTTAAAGGACGGGGCGCGTCAAAAGTGCCCCAAGGCTTCGTCTGATCGCCAAAATAATGGTCGCAATCGATTCCTCGGGTCAATATCTAGCCTCAGTCGAAGGTTCCAGACCTGTGGCTCCTATCCCTCATCCCTTAATCGTCCCTTAAAGGACGGGGCGCGTCAAAAGTGCCCCAAGGCTTCGTCTGATCGCCAAAATAAGGGTCGCAATCGATTCCTCGGGTCAATATCTAACCTCAGTCGAAAGTTCCAGACCTGTGGCTCCTATCCCTCATCCCTTAATCGTCCCTTAAAGGACGGGGCGCGTCAAAAGTGCCCCAAGGCTTCGTCTGATCGCCAAAATAATGGTCGCAATCGATTCCTCGGGTCAATATCTAACCTCAGTCGAAGGTTCCAGACCTGTGGCTCCTATCCCTCATCCCTTAATCGTCCTTTAAAGGACGGGGCGCGTCAAAAGTGCCCCAAGGCTTCGTCTGATCGCCAAAATAATGGTCGCAATCGATTACTCGGGTCAATATCTAACCTCAGTCGTAGGTTCCAGACCTGTGGCTCCTATCCCTCATCCCTTAATCGTCCCTTAAAGGACGGGGCGCGTCAAAAGTGCCCCAAGGCTTCGTCTGATCGCCAAAATAATGGTCGCAATCGATTCCTCGGGTCAATATCTAACCTCAGTCGAAGGTTCCAGACCTGTGGCTCCTATCCCTCATCCCTTAATCGTCCCTTAAAGGACGGGGCGCGTCAAAAGTGCCCCAAGGCTTCGTCTGATCGCCAAAATAATGGTCGCAATCGATTCCTCGGGTCAATATCTAACCTCAGTCAAAGGTTCCAGACCTGTGGCTCCTATCCCTCATCCCTTAATCGTCCCTTAAAGGACGGGGCGCGTCAAAAGTGCCCCAAGGCTTCGTCTGATCGCCAAAATAATGGTCGCAATCGATTCCTCGGGTCAATATCTAACCTCAGTCGAAGGTTCCAGACCTGTGGCTCCTATCCCTCATCCCTTAATCGTCCCTTAAAGGACGGGGCGCGTCAAAAGTGCCCCAAGGCTTCGTCTGATCGCCAAAATAATGGTCGCAATCGATTCCTCGGGTCAATATCTAACCTCAGTCGAAGGTTCCAGACCTGTGGCTCCTATCCCTCATCCCTTAATCGTCCCTTAAAGGACGGGGCGCGTCAAAAGTGCCCCAAGGCTTCGTCTGATCGCCAAAATAATGGTCGCAATCGATTCCTCGGGTCAATATCTAACCTCAGTCGAAGGTTCCAGACCTGTGGCTCCTATCCCTCATCCCTTAATCGTCCTTTAAAGGACGGGGCGCGTCAAAAGTGCCCCAAGGCTTCGTCTGATCGCCAAAATAATGGTCGCAATCGATTACTCGGGTCAATATCTAACCTCAGTCGTAGGTTCCAGACCTGTGGCTCCTATCCCTCATCCCTTAATCGTCCCTTAAAGGACGGGGCGCGTCAAAAGTGCCCCAAGGCTTCGTCTGATCGCCAAAATAATGGTCGCAATCGATTCATCGGGTCAATATCTAACCTCAGTCGAAGGTTCCAGACCTGTGGCTCCTATCCCTCATCCCTTAATCGTCCCTTAACCCGCGCGGGGCTGGGGTCTCCAGCCGAACGCGCGGGGCTGGGGGGGGGGGTAAATTTTACCCCCCCTGTTATCTCCCGAACTAACGGTCCGATTTGGAAAATTCAAACGCCAATCGAAAGCTCTCATCACGAACTACTAAAAACATGTACTTAATTTAAGGTTTGAGGTCAAGGTCAAGGTCAGGTCAAGGGTACAAATTGCAAGATTCTACAGTATCGGCCTTCCACCGTAGTTGCCAAAGAATGGAGTCATGGACTGAGACTGATCGCCCAAAACGTGTTCTTAGGCTACCAAGACAATATTCGTTGCATACAATATCATTCAGAGGTCAAGGTCAAGGTCAGGTCAGGTCAGGTCAGGTCACCAAGAAACAAAATATCGAAAAGGGCATGTGCGACACATGTTTTATGGGTCATTTTACTCATAGAATTCAATAGGCACACTCAATAAGTGATATGGACCACCTCTGGATGAATTTCAGGTCGAGGTCAGGTCAAGGTCAGGTCAAGTGAGGTCAAATTTTGAAGTTGGTTGTTAAGGCCTAAAAAGGTGTCTATCTGATGCAGTTTCTCACGGCGAATCGAATGGTGCTATTTGTGTTTCCGCACGAGGTCTAGAACTTCCAAAAAAGTCATTTTTCAAAAAATTTGTGTGTCGTGACGTCATAAAATTTTGAATAACTCCTACATTTTTGAACCGATTCTTCTAAAATTTGGTATGTAGGTGCACATAGACAACTTCTCTGACATATATTCCGGTTTTTTCGATAGACTCAAAATTTTGGATTTTATAATGATTTTCCCAAAAAAGTCAGTTTTTTGAAAAAATTTAGGCCAAAATCCAAAATTTTCAAAAAACCGAGATAGCCATTTGATAGACAAAGTAAAATTACGTATAACCTTTTTTGTTACGTCTTGATTCCTTTAAAAATGAAGATGTTAGCGGCGTTTGAACTTTTGCCGTTTTTGAGGCGAAAATGACGAACATGACGTCACTAAAACGTCAATTTCTCAAAAATTTTCCGACGGATTTCGCTCAAATTTTCAGGGAACGTGTCAAATTGATGTAAGAAAAGGTACTGAAAGTTTGGCGGCGCTGCGCGCCGCCGTTTTTGAGATATCGCAAAAATTCGCGAGGGGGGGGTAAAATTTACCCCCCCCCCAGCCCCGCGCGGGTTAAAGGACGGGGCGCGTCAAAAGTGCCCCAAGGCTTCGTCTGATCGCCAAAATAATGGTCGCAATCGATTCCTCGGGTCAATATCTAACCTCAGTCAAAGGTTCCAGACCTGTGGCTCCTATCCCTCATCCCTTAATCGTCCCTTAAAGGACGGGGCGCGTCAAAAGTGCCCCAAGGCTTCGTCTGATCGCCAAAATAATGGTCGCAATCGATTCCTCGGGTCAATATCTAACCTCAGTCGAAGGTTCCAGACCTGTGGCTCCTATCCCTCATCCCTTAATCGTCCCTTAAAGGACGGGGCGCGTGAAAAGTGCCCCAAGGCTTCGTCTGATCGCCAAAATAATGGTCGCAATCGATTCCTCGGGTCAATATCTAACCTCAGTCGAAGGTTCCAGACCTGTGGCTCCTATCCCTCATCCCTTAATCGTCCCTTAAAGGACGGGGCGCGTCAAAAGTGCCCCAAGGCTTCGTCTGATCGCCAAAATAATGGTCGCAATCGATTCCTCGGGTCAATATCTAACCTCAGTCGAAGGTTCCAGACCTGTGGCTCAATCCCTCATCCCTTAATCGTCCCTTAAAGGACGGGGCGCGTCAAAAGTGCCCCAAGGCTTCGTCTGATCGCCAAAATAATGGTCGCAATCGATTCCTCGGGTCAATATCTAACCTCAGTCGAAGGTTCCAGACCTGTGGCCCCTATCCCTCATCCCTTAATCGTCCCTTAAAGGACGGGGCGCGTCAAAAGTGCCCCAAGGCTTCGTCTGATCGCCAAAATAATGGTCGCAATCGATTCCTCGGGTCAATATCTAGCCTCAGTCGAAGGTTCCAGACCTGTGGCTCCTATCCCTCATCCCTTAATCGTCCCTTAAAGGACGGGGCGCGTGAAAAGTGCCCCAAGGCTTCGTCTGATCGCCAAAATAATGGTCGCAATCGATTCCTCGGGTCAATATCTAACCTCAGTCGAAGGTTCCAGACCTGTGGCTCCTATCCCTCATCCCTTAATCGTCCCTTAAAGGACGGGGCGCGTCAAAAGTGCCCCAAGGCTTCGTCTGATCGCCAAAATAATGGTCGCAATCGATTCCTCGGGTCAATATCTAACCTCAGTCGAAGGTTCCAGACCTGTGGCTCAATCCCTCATCCCTTAATCGTCCCTTAAAGGACGGGGCGCGTCAAAAGTGCCCCAAGGCTTCGTCTGATCGCCAAAATAATGGTCGCAATCGATTCCTCGGGTCAATATCTAACCTCAGTCGAAGGTTCCAGACCTGTGGCCCCTATCCCTCATCCCTTAATCGTCCCTTAAAGGACGGGGCGCGTCAAAAGTGCCCCAAGGCTTCGTCTGATCGCCAAAATAATGGTCGCAATCGATTCCTCGGGTCAATATCTAGCCTCAGTCGAAGGTTCCAGACCTGTGGCTCCTATCCCTCATCCCTTAATCGTCCCTTAAAGGACGGGGCGCGTCAAAAGTGCCCCAAGGCTTCGTCTGATCGCCAAAATAAGGGTCGCAATCGATTCCTCGGGTCAATATCTAACCTCAGTCGAAAGTTCCAGACCTGTGGCTCCTATCCCTCATCCCTTAATCGTCCCTTAAAGGACGGGGCGCGTCAAAAGTGCCCCAAGGCTTCGTCTGATCGCCAAAATAATGGTCGCAATCGATTCCTCGGGTCAATATCTAACCTCAGTCGAAGGTTCCAGACCTGTGGCTCCTATCCCTCATCCCTTAATCGTCCTTTAAAGGACGGGGCGCGTCAAAAGTGCCCCAAGGCT